TCCTTCAGAGCAGCACGTGTGCTCCTCAGCTGGCAGTGTGTGCGCGCTGCCTGGCTGCCTGCTTTTGGCTAACGTAAAATGATTTTTATGCTTCGGATTTAACTCGTATTTCACAGGCCTTCCTGGTCACTACTTTTCTTTCTCAGTGTGGAAATGCGCAGAGAACTTTCAATAACAAATTTAGTTTCTCTCTTTGCTTGAATTCAAGCGATGGGTCCCCAGGTTGTTGGGGAAGGCTGGAACTGCAGCATCTAACAGAAGAGTGTACTCCCTTTGCTTTAGAAACCAAGCAAAAAAAATGATTAACCAGGCAGCCATTTATTCGTTCAAGACAGGAAATGATGGTTGCAGCCTTGTATTTAAAGGTTTATTTTAGCAAACAATGTTAATTCTCCCAGCTGGTGTTTGCTGCAGCTGGACTCCTTCCCTGCTTACAAGTTTACATGATCTCATGGAAAATGACCCGGGGTCTGATCTCTCGGTCACAGAGAGGTGTTTTCTCTGCATCCACCTGACTGCCAAGCAACTGCTTATCCCATGCCATTTCTTACCTCTGCAGAGGGCTGGCATTGCATGATGCTCCCCGATCTTTGGGCAAAGGCAGTTGGGATAGCGCTGGCCGCTGTCACTGCCTCTTCTGCCTGACTTTCAAGTGGATTGAAGCACCCTATGGGATCCTTTTGGGTGGTAGGGTGGGAAACCTGCAGCAAAGGGTGGCTGGCTGGGGACAGTCGAGTGAGAGCTGCCGGGTCCAGCAGAGACCATCCTCCTGTGGCTGGAGGTCACCTTGTCCCTCTGCTCTGGGCGCTTAGTGCAGTGGACAGCCGTGAGCTGCGTGTTTTGCCTCCATCGTCTACAGCCACCTCACTTCCAGTTTGCCTGAGGAAGGAAGCAATTTCCTGGGAAACTGGAAAACTGGCTTGTGCTAGACAGTCATGTTGTTCTAAGGGTACTGCTGCAGTTGAAGTAATTAAACCCCTCCCAGTGTAGACACGGTTAAACTGAGACATGTCTTTTAGCCTGGTTTCCTATGGAAACGAGCCTTATGCAATCCTGCTGTCTGTCAGCCTTTCTCCCCCTCCTCCCACCCAGTAGTTTTTGCACTGGTTGGCCAATTTCAACCAAATGCGACAGAAGGCTCCAAGCTGTCAAGTTTTTATGGATTTCATGGAAATAGGTGTTTGCATAGAGCAGAGGGACTCTGTCGGAGCCTGTCTCAGAGGGAGAGGCTGCAGTGAGGTTTTGACTCATACTGGTCACTGGAGAATCCCAGCATGGAGGAAAGCTTTGAAATGCCTCTGCCATGGGAACAGATGGAGTTGGAGTCTGCACCTGTATAAAATGTTGCCTTGCAAACACAGACAGATCAAATGCAGGAGCAGTTAATTTTGTCTAGGTGCCTGCTCCATTCCTCTGCTGGAAATCCCCCTCCCAGGGCAGGGGGACTGAGCCATGTAGGAAACGCAACCCAAAATGCCTCTGTTCATAGCCTGGTTTAATAAAATAGCCTTAAACGGGTATTGTTAAAATACTCTGGTTGCAAGGGCTGGTGTTTTAGAAGCTATCCCTGCTGGGAGAGGCAGATGGTTGGAGGCCATAATAGCTTCAGTTAGTTCACATTTAATCCATGTGTGTTTGGAGTCAACATCCTTGGAGAGACAGATCAGGTGACTGAGAGACAGTTGTAGCAACCCAGACTTAATGCTGGTGCTTGGAGGATATGCTGCTGATTGCCTGTGGTTTCAGCAGTACTGGGGTCTGGGGACAGGAAAGAAGTCAGCAGTTTCTGTGGTTGTGACCAGTTAGCTCCAGTGCAGTACTGGCCGTGTGCTGGAGTGGTTTGCACCAAGGTGTTTGACTTCCCAGATGCAAGACCCTGGGCTTGGAGTCAGTCGCTGGGTAAAAACTGAGCCCCAGTGATGTGCTCTTGGGTAGTAGCCAGCGTTTGCAGTTGTGGCTGGAGCAGTGGCGTGGGTCAACTTGTGGGTGGGAGGTGGCGTGTGGCTGGGTAGGCTGGTAAGGTGACAGCTGGGTGGCGTGGGGTGGGGTGGAGGCCAGCGGTCGCCGCTGTTTTCTCCTGCAAATCTGAAATGGGGAAATCCTCCGTTCCCCTGCATTGCTCTCTGAGGAAACTTCCAGGCAATAGCTTTCCTCTAAGACAACATTACTTCAGCCCGTGGCATTTCTCCCCGCCTCATCCCTATTTGCCTAGTGGTGGAAAACCCTGTCCTGACCACTGGCTGCAGGCGGGGAGAGCGCTCTGGCGATGCACTGCTTACAACCCTGCAATGAGCAGGGCTTCCCGTACCCCCACCCTGCCCAGAGGCTTGCGGGGGCCCTTGCCCCGGCTCACAGCCGACATGGAGGTAGTGTAGCCGTGTGCAGACAGCCTGCGCTACTGCGGCTTAGCAGGAAAATGTGCAAACAGCAAGTGGCTTTTAACACTACCTCTTGCTGAGACAGTGTTTGCTGGAGTGTCTTCCCTCGGTGATGCTGCTGTTGGCGATTATCTGCAGGCATTTCATTAAAAAAAGACCAACTTTCTTCTCTCCTTCTTTCCAAAAGTTGCTGATTCTGTCTGCTCGTGTCTTCTAGTAAGTGTGTTGTGGGTAGGGGTAGATTTCTGGTGGAGATCACGCAGGGCATCGTTTTCCCATCCTGAAAAAGGTGGAAACATGTGAAGTGACTGGAAGACCACATCATCTGCCCCAGTGGGAGTGGTGGTTGCTATGGAAGGAGAAATGGAAATCTCGGAGGGATATCCTCCCCTACCTAGCTGATGGAAAAGGCCCTCAAAATAACTACAGTACAAAGGAAAAGGTATTTCAAAGTGGGCTTTGGGTCCTCTTGGCTGTGTTCAGGCACTGTTTCAGCTCCCGGTCAGGTGCACGTGTTGCAGCAGAGAGGCTGTGATACGTGTCTGTCGGTAGCCAGGCCATTCAGCAAGCGCACTCAGGATGGCAGCGGCTCAGCTCCCTCTTTGAAGTTCCTTGGAAAACAGCTTGTGTGTGCATCTGCCTCGCTGGACGAGCAGAGTAACCAAATTACATCCTCTAATTCCATAGTGGCCTTCTGGTAAGATCAGTGCATGTGGGTGATGCAAGGGTGGTGTCTGTCCCCATGCTGACATAAATGAAATTAGTCCCTAATGAAACATTTTCCTCTCAGGTTCAGAAACGTAGCCCTCACTTCTGCTGGTCCCCCTGCTCTGGCTGCTTCTCCCTGCCTGTCTGACCTCCCACCAGCTCCAGCCATGTCTGGGTGCTGCCCTGGGGCTGTTGGTTGCCCCTCCCCAGCGAACCCTACCCCGTGTCGCTCCAGCTCTGGCTGACAGCTGCGGTGGCCTTGCTGCCGTTTTCCACAGTGGCTTTATGAGGTGCTGACGCTCCCTGTGCAGGCATTGGTGTTATTTTTGGCACTTTGCTTCGGGCTGAGATTCTCATCTTTTGGCTTGAAAGTCTAGCTCTTGCCTTTTAACTTGGAAGAGGAGAAGGGCAGGATTTGAATCTGAAGGTTTCAGCCACCTGAAGAGCCTAGAAAGACAGCATATTTTCTCACTTATATAAGCGCCATATTTTCTCACTATATAAAAAGCTTCTGTTCCTTCTCCTGTCTGCTCGTACGTTCCTGTGAGGGGTCTGAAACCAGGGATTGCCTTGGATTTGCCTGTAACAGGAGTGCAAGTTGCCCCATCGGCACTCTGCAGCCGTCGTCAAAGTGGGAGGCTGCAGCAGAGGCGAGCGCGAGCTGTTGAGCTCTTGTGGCTCCTTGTCCTTCACGTAGACATCTGATAATGTGTGTCACTTTGGTAAGGTGTCTTGTACCTCTTTGCCATTCCCTGTTACACCCCTCCTCACACGCTGGACTCTGTGCCGGATGGTGAATGTTTTAGAAAGCTAAATGTCTGGAGAGGAGTGTTTTCATCAGCAAACCTCACAGATAGGGCAAGGGCTTTACCAGTCTCTGCAAGATATCTCTGCAAGATATCTCTGCATCTCTCTGCAATGGTACCGGTGGTGCAGGAGGGGATGTTCCAGTTCTTCAATGAAGGGCTGCTATACTCAGTGCCTCGCAACCGGTGACACCCACACTGGTCATTAGCCAAGGCTCATTAAAAAAGTCTCACCTCTTAGCCGCTCTAAGCTGCCTTTCCTTTCAAGCAGGCACAGAACTAGAGTTGTCCTGGGAGTGGATGAGTTACAGAAACAATCGTTCATTTGCATTGAAGTGAACCACTGGATCAGCAGAGTGTAAAAGCTAACCCAACCTCCGAGCCCCTGCCTTGGGAGCAGCTGTTCTTTGTCACTCTCTGCAGGGTGATGTCCAGAGAAAAGCTTACTTTGCAAAGGGAGTTCCTGGGACTGCACAGATTCAAGGAGGAGTCAAAAACTGTTTACAATGTCTGTAGGCTTTAAAAATAATCATGGTATATGGATGCGATGGCATGCTGTGCAGTTGGTTCTATGTTCTTGGGGTGGTTGTGAAAGACACGTGCACATAGTTAGGCGCAGCAGTGTCTGAGCTTACTAGAAATCTTGGTGTTGGGGACTCTCAGGTCGTTGTTTCATTGGATTAAAGTACTCGTTGGGAAATGGGTTGGGATTAAGGAGTAAAAAAACTGGTTTGTGATCATAAACAAAAGCTGAGATAGGAGGTCCACCATGCTTGTCCTGTGACTCTAAATGCATAACATAGAATGAGTGCGCTGAGATGTCCTCATAGCAGTCCAAGGTGCTTTTAACCACAGTTACTGGGGTCACACTTATCGTTGTCTGGAGTGGTTTGATTTTCCCCTGATGAGTGGAAAGCTTTCACTGATGAGAGGGGAAATCCTGGTTCACACAAGGTGTCTGTCTCCTCTTTGAAGCTAAAAATGTTCCCTTGTGAGGGTGGGAGCAGAGAGAGGAGAGGAGGTGATGTGATCCAGTCAAAATTAGTGGCAGAAATCAGTGTTAATTTCTGAAAGGACTCTCACTTCTAATTTCTTTTGTCTATTTAAGCCAGTGAAGAAAAAGAAGATAAAACGCGAGGTTAAGATTCTGGAGAATCTACGTGGTGGCACCAACATCATTAATCTGATTGACACTGTCAAGGATCCGGTGGTAGGTGCCTGTGTGTCGCGGTGTGTGTGGTGGGCTTGCCTCCCCGCTGGCTGCAGGCACGGGGCAGGCGCTGCCGCATGACTTCTGCTCTCGGCTCAGGTTAGGTGCTGCCTGTGCCCGTGCCTTCGTGCCAGCCAGGGGTGAGCGGTGTCCAGCTCATTAGGGTCTCCTGAGGTGGGTTGGTTTGGACGAGCTCATGTTCCTCTCCAGGTTCCCCAGACTCTTTTACACCCCTTCTGCGTCTTCTGTGAGTTTAACGTGGCTGATGGGGGAGAAGTTCTGTAGCCCTACAAATTTTCTGTAAGAAAGCAGAGCCTGTAGCCTTCCAGCTTCTGTCTGGCATCTGGAACAGAAGTATCTGCCAGGGCAAATTGGATATTAAGCACTTTTCATCCCTCTGGTTGCTGTCCTGCCCAGTGACCAGAGGTCATATCCTTTGTCTGCAATGCCACAATTACCCCATTCCCGGGAAGTTTTCTCTGACTAGCAGCTGGCTGAGCTCTGACTCCCAGCCTGCTGGCAGCCACGGAGAGGAAATGACACTGCTGTAGCATTGGCAGTCCTGGCTGGCCTTCCTCCTGCGATGGGATGTGAGGCCTTAGCCCCTGGTGACACCTTTTGCTTTGCCCAGGGCTGTCTCTGCTCCGTGGTGTGGGGAGGAGCAGCACTGGCCAAAATGCCATGTTAGTGCTTGCTGCATGGGGTATAAGCGGAGTTTGCCTTTGCCTGCTGTGGGAGCAGGGCTGCGTTTCTCTCGCTGTCCTGCTCCTGCCCGCTCTCTGCAGTGAGGGTTGAGCAGGAAGCATAAGCTTCTTCAAGTCTCTTGGAGCAAAAAAAAGGTCAAGAGGGTGTTTTAAACCATGACTCTCTCTCTCTTGCAGTCAAAGACCCCTGCTCTGGTGTTTGAGTACATCAATAACACAGATTTTAAGGTGAGTCTGCCTGAGTGTGGAGGGGGGAGGCGTCCCGTTTCTGTTAAGAGCGCTGTGATCTTGGGTTGTCAGATACTCCTCAAGAGCTATGGGGGGAGTTTGGAGTTTTCACCTATGGAAGCTTCACCTTCCTTTCCCCATGTAAATCAGAAACCTGTAAATAGGCTGTAGATGAGAAGGAATAAAAAGCTTGTGTGCTGAATCTCCTCCCAACTTTGAGGAGTAAGTTCAACAGGTTAGATATTCTTACTCCCCTCTCAATTTAGTAATTACTGCTGTGCTATATATTCAGTCCAAGTTAATCCCTGTGCTGCAATGCTCTCATTTACAGCAGTGCAGTTGATGGAGCAGGTGACACCGATTTGTGCTGGAATCCTTCAGACCTGGGGACTGTGGGGTGGCAGAGGCTGGAGAGCACATCTCCCACTGCCGGTGGGACTGGAAGCAGGGGACTGAGCAGTCTTGAATACATCTTAAGAGGTTTTCTGCTTGCCTGAGGCTGCAGCATATTCCCTGGCTCTTCTGATTTCTGGGGAGCTCCAAGTAGTATTACTCCTTCCTGAAACAGGGGTCCTTCTGTTTGAGTGCAGCTACGACTGCCTGTGCTACTGAAATGCTTCTGGCTGGCAGCAGCGAGCTGATACACAAAAGGGATATATAATTAGCAACCACACCTATTTTAATGGTATCTTTGCTTCCCCTATGTGAATCTTTACCCTAAGTCATTAAGTCAGTGGTGGAGAATTAATTGAGCAGTTGCCATTAGAAAGCCAGCAGTCATCCCCTCCTGCGCTGTTCAGAGATCTCTTTCATTCCATGGTATGGGATGGTGCTTTTTTCTTCCTGTCTGTGCTGGAGCGTTGCGTAGGTACACACCTTCTAGGATGCAGCTTCAGCGGATAAACCAAACACCCAGAGAAGGACCCTGGGTTGCTGTTGGTGGAAAGGAGGCAACTTGTCAGCTGGCCCATGGACTGTCTCACCTGCAGCCCTGCACGCTGCGAGGCAGCACACTTTGTTTCTGTCCCTCTGGGGTTGGTCTGGCAAGCTGAATCCTGCTGGGTGGGACCCTGTGCATAGCTAGAGCTGCAGCCGTGCTGGCGGTGGTAGTCTTAGTGCTATTTAATCTCATGTAGAGACTTACTGCAGAGGCTAGAATAATAGTAACTTGCAGCAGCGTCTGCCCTGACAGCTCTGGGTGGGGAGATGAGTGTTGCCTCTGTCAAGTAAACAGCCATGAGAGGAGTGCTATGTGGTGACCTTTCAGGGCTAATTAAAGCAGCCTTGGTTTGTCTGGGCTTCGTTGACATCAGCTGGGCTGTTTCAGTGCCACATGTATGTTGGGAACGTGCCCTGTGCTTCTCCTGGTGACCCAGGGACTCTTCATAAGGCTGGTCCTGGAAGTTCTTAACTTTCTACTTAGAGATATTTTTTTTTTTCATTTTGTTGTAACTGAAATATGTTCACAAAGTGGAGCGTTAAGTAGTAACTTGAGGCTGGTGGCCAACAGGGACTCTTAACTGAAAAATGCAGGGCTTGGAGTATGTGGTAGGTCAGCCATGCTGAGAGCCGTCGCAGGCACTTGTTGCAACGTTGGTCTGGCCACAGCAGAAGTAACAGTGCTCAGCCCTGGCTGTTGCATTAGGAACAACTGTATGAGTTTGCAGCAGATGATTTCTAGGCTCCTAGGAGAAAGCTTGGCTGCTCGAGGAAGTCCGGATTCACAGCTGTACAAATCAGAGACAGAAAGTATTGATGCTTTTGATGCTGATTGGTACAAGGCAGGAATAACTTGTCTTGGGAATGCAAGCGTGTCCCCCAGGGCATGCAGTATGGCTGTTTGTGTTCAGAGCTTATTTGTAACGTGAATTTCACTAGCTATGTATGGGGCGTGTGGGTTATTCGAGCTACACTCCCACGAGCTCTGCTGCCTGTTTGGGTAAGTTCTTGGGGCCGCAGCTAACTGGCAGATTACAGAGCTGCTGCTACTCACAGGTACCTGTGCATATCTTCTTCTGTACAGAGGCTCCCAAGCTGTCTCTTCCCTTGCTCTGAAGTGCCCTTGCCAAGCAGAAAGCGCACAGAGTAGATGATACCACTTGCGTTGGAGGTCTTGGCTTGCCCTATACCTCTATGAAGCAGCTGGAGAGCACCCAGTCATTGTCCCCTCTGCTCCACAGTCCTGATCTCCCCAAGCAGCCAAATTCTGCTGGAGTTAAGTGCCATGTGAGCTAGTCCTGGTGACAGGGACCTCTTCTCTTTGTTTTGAGGTGGCTGCTGCTGATCTGCCCATCTCTGCATTGACTTCTGGATTCAGCAGTACTGCTGAGTACCATGCATCTCACTGGCAAATCACCTTCGGGGTGTGTGAGGGGGTTCCCGGGGCAGCTGGTGTACAGCAGGTGATTGCTGACTGCTTTACAGGATTGCGTTTTTGCTCTCCTGTTGGCAGTAGTTGCTCACAAGCTTGGATGTCTCCTCAGTTGTCTCCTTTCTGGCAGTTTCTTTCCTTCAACATTATTATTTTTTTGCTTAATGTTAATATTTTCACCCCTTTCCCCATTCGAATGGCAGGACACTAGTCATGTCTGTGCACCTGTGAAAATGGCTGCTGGGTTTCCTCAGCCCTCTGTGCACGGGCAGAAGCTGCAGTTCCGTGGGGCCTAAGCCATGGCTCTGGACGATTCCGGATCAGAAGCGCAAGCTTGTATTCCATACGGTTTGGCTATTTTTAAATGATGGTATAAACAGGAGACCTAGCTGATACCTCCCTAGAGCTGATTACATTTTCTTAAATTACCCGGATGGGTCCCTTCTGAAAGTCATGGCTCTGTACTCACAGGGATGATGAGTTGGAACTAGACTAAATGCGTATTCTGCTGTGCGAGGACGGCAGCTTGTGTATGGGGCTAGTGTTTCTCTTCAGACCTGCTGTATTACTTGTCATCTGTGAGCACTCAAGCTACCCACAGTCGTCTGCCTTAAATGATAGCTGCGCTGCAGAGCCATGCAGTCAACTGAGTAACTGTCAGTGAAATTAAATGTCTTTTGCTAATTGGTTTCAAACTAGAAATGAAACACCTGTCCTTCAACCACCATCAGCTGTTGCATATTTTGTGTAGTCTGTGAGCGTACCTGGTACCGTGCCTTTCATTGCCCTGAAGAGGCAAGTCCCTCGGGAAAGAAGGGGGCAGAGCCAGGTCTCCAGGAGCAGTGCTGGGTTGGGTTTGCTATTTCGTTCTTAAAACACACTAGCAGGTTTGCAGCTGAAGAAGAGGAGATGGGCAAGAAAGGTTGCTTTCCAGCTGTGTTGCTTCAGGATGTTCAGCCTATTGGAGTTGTGGGGACAGAGGGCTTTTGAGTCAAATCTTCCACTTTGTGTGCACCTTGCTGAATTTTCAGGCCAAGTTGCTGTGAGGGAAGTGTGTGCCTGTGTTTTATCCTTGTACATCCAAGGTTAGTTTGAAAAATAGTTGTTCCCCTGCATAGGCGATGGCAGAAGCATGAAAGATTTTCCTCCCTTGCGTGGCTGCCGAGGCCGGGATGCTTTGGGAGCTGTTTCCTTTTCTTTTGCTGCTGCCTGCCCTGCGCCCCAAAGCAGTGTCTCCCTCCTCCGACGGCTCCTCGCAGCCACCCTGTTGCTTTGCAGATGCTGCTTCCAGCTGTGTTGCTCACTCAAGGGAGGAGAATAAGTGTTTAACTCCTGTCAGCCCCATGGAGAGGGGAAGCATGTCTGTGCCTCCTCGGGCACTAATGGGATTAATTTACGGTTGGTTACATAATGTGTGCCAAAATATCACTGAAAGCTGGAGAGGGGTGGAGGCTGCCGGTGGGTGAGTTTGGCCTTTCCTCGTGCTCTGTATGGAGAAAGGAGACCAGCCCGGGTCTCCGAGGCCTTGTGCGATCCTGAGTGCTGGCAACTAGCTGAGCAGATGTTTGAGCTGGGTCTGAGTGATCCCCACAGTGATGTTTCTGATAGTTTTACTCCGAAGAGCCAGCTGTAAGAGCAGAGCATGGGACATGTCTGCAAAGGAAGTGTCTGCTCTCCCCTGCTAGGCTGGGCAAACGGGATTTGGAGCCCACTGTCAAAGCTTTCTTGGGGCAGCTGCTGTGCGGGACCCACTTGCAGTGGAAACCTTGGCGCTGTCCTTCAAAGCCGCCTGCGTTCACGGGCTGCCTGCAGTGGGACTGAGCATGCTCCTGCAGGGACTGTTCACCGCAGCAAGCGGAGCCTGGGCGCTAATAGCCACACTGTTGGCCTTGGCACAGCGAGAGGGTCAGAGGTGCTGGGTTTCACAGGCAGCTCTACTAGGGAAGTCTGTTGAAAGCTGGTTGCCCAACAGCTGCCTCTGCTGATAGCTATGAGTTAGAGAAGCGACAGCATCATGGGCCTGAGAAGAAAGACATCGGTGACCTCCCTTCCATCCCCTCCCTGCTTACAGGCAGTGAGAGGCAGAGGAGCCAGGGAATGGGGAAAATGGGATCTAGCCTCGTTCTGCCACTGCCTCTCCTGCCCTCCTGCTTCCCCAAGTGCGTTGATGTTGCCAGGCAAAGTTGAACAGGGTGGTGATTCCCAGAAAGACATGTTTTAAGCATCTCTGTCCCCCCATAGTGTTTGTTACCTAAGCAAGCCATTTAAACAAACTCCTGGAAGGGCTCAGCTGTCCTCTGCTGGCCCCAGGTCACACGTCAGAGCCATGCGCAACCAAAATCTCTCTCTGCTATAGCTTGTGGCTATGTCTTTTTTGCTCCCTGCTCACTTGTCTGCTTCAGTGGGTTGCTCCGAAGCGTTAGGATCATCCCAGCTCATGAGAATACAATACAGCTTGTGTCATGGAGGCTGTTAAAGCTCTGCGTGTGTAAGTGACACTTGTATGTTGTCAAATGATTTCCCAGGGCAGTATTGGGGGTGGTGGGGCTGTTTGGAGCTGGCCCTAAGTAAGGCAGGATCCTGAGGATCTTGGCATGGGCCTGGAGGGGATCTGGGGCCGGAGCTGCTTTCTTGGAATGTGAATTTCAATCCCTCGCTCTGGGATTTTTCCTGAAGCTGCCAAGTAGTGCCCGTGATGGGCAGCTGGCTCCAGCGCTGATGCAATCGATGATTTGACTGAGCTGTGAGATGATTCCTGTTTGTTAGAAAGGGCAGAGGGGTCTGGTCCTACTGCTGCCCTGTGAATGTCCTTCCTTGCCCTGCCCTGGCATCTTGCCTTGCTTTCCCTGGACAAGAGCACAGCCCAATGGGGCTGGGCTGGCACCGCTGCCAATGACAGATATAGAGCAGAAGGCAAATTTGGGGCCAGTTGTGACCTGGCATGGGAGCAGCAGGATGATGAGTTCTCCAGTGACAGTGCTGATGGCACAGTGCAGGTTAAAGTGCACCATCGATCTTTGTCGCTTCCCCATGAGTAGCTGCAGAAAGACACAGAGGAAAGGAGGGTGGTGAACATGTGCTGGCAACAAGCACTTCCCCGAGACTCCGAGCTGTGCTCTCCTTGGCCCCACAAGCATTTCTGTGCTGTTGAGTTGCATTAGCCTTTATCCTGGGATAGAGGGGAGCCTCCGCGGCTGTCTCTACCCTTTGTGCTTCCCCACCCCATGCTCCTTTAGGTTAATGTTTTCCTCTCCCTGCCCCACCTTGAGCACTTGGAAGCCTTGCCCATGTGTTCCCAGCCTGCCTGCTCTGAGTGCTGTTATCCATGTTGTCAAGTCACCGTGACGACTTTGCATATGAACAGAGAGTCAAGATCATCTGTGCCAACTCCAGCATGGTCTGAAAGGCTTGCTGTCTTCTCCTTGGACAGACCGCCTGCCTGTCTCCTGCTGGAAAGAAGTCATGACAGGTCTGAATGATCCTGGTAGCATTTCACGGGAGCTCTTGCATCCTTTCTGGATTTCCTAGCATGTAGCCCTGGCAGGTCTGAGACCAGGACAGCCCTCAGGAGTGGCAGCATTCACAGGGGATGTGGAATGAGGTCAATGATTGGAGGCAGGTGGGGTGCAGCAAACAAAACTAATCCAAATCTGGAGTATTTATTTTTGTTTCTCTTTTTCCCTCCCCAAATCTGTTTCAGCAACTGTACCAGATCCTGACAGACTTTGATATTCGGTTTTATATGTATGAGCTGCTGAAGGTGAGTGGCATTGTAATGGCAGTCTGGATGGGGAGACCGGGAATGAGAGAGGCAGTAGTGGGGCTCACGGGGCAGTGCTACTAAGCGGTTACTTCTCTCATGTTCAATGCAGAATCCATGTCTCATAACCTGGGAAGGTTTGGGAAGAGATCTGGCTACCTGGCTTGTTGCTGTGAGGTATTACAGCCAAACTGGGGACCTTTTGGTGACCTCCAAAGAGTCTCTGATTCTCTGGGGTCTGTTCTTTCCCCGTGAAGCATTTGTGATTGTTAGTGGCCAGGTAGGGCTGTGCTTGGTCTCCCTGTGTCTCTAGCACCGTTGGGCTGCTATGAAGAAAATAAACTCCCTCCCAGCCAGATCCAGTACAAGCACCGAGAGGTGTTTGCAGGGCTGGGGAACTGGGGACTCTAGCACGCTAGGGAGAGCAGAAGAGAGGGATTGCCAGCTCCAGGCTTTCTTCTGCTGCAGTATTCAAATGCAGCTCCAGAAGGTGACTCCTGTCCACTTGGTCTTAGATCCCTCTGTCTCTGGGGTGGGGGAATCTAGGATGCTTCAAGAACAAGCTGGCCAGCTTGGTGCCCTGTGGTCACAGAACTCCATGGATGTGGTCTTGGGGAACGAAGCTTCTGGTTATGTTGGCTGTTACATGTTGGTATAACACTGGTATTTTCCTTTGAGACCTCCCAGCCAAAGCTTTCCCTGCCCCTCTGACGAAGGGCGAGGAGCGCCCTAAATACCTCCTCTTAACTAGCCTCGCTTGCACCTCCCCATGGAAATGCTCACAGAGCCATATGGCAGATCTGTGAGATCTGCTGCACTGCTTCTCTGGGGTCTCCAGCTGCAGGACATGGGAGCCAGCAGGGCATTAGGGAGAGCTTACAGGTTTTGGCTGATTCCAGGGCTGTTCTGTGCTGACCTGCTGGAGCAGCAGCTTGGCTGTATCAGGTCCCTCGGGACTTCTGGGCTGGCATCTTGCAGGTCCCCTGCCTCTGGAAATGAGTGCGACAGGCTAGGGAAAGCCCTTTGTGCTCCAGGACTTGGTGACTGCAGGAGACTTCCTGAAATAGATCTAGTGAGCTTGAGGGAGGCTTTCTTCTCTGTACCCCCAAGCTGGCTGCATCTGTCTGCAAGGGAAAGACCTTCCTACTGAAGGTTGGAGGGAGCCTGAGGCAGCCCAGGATCAGGGTGGGAGGTGTGATGAGGTTCAGATGATCCATCCTTGGAACAAGCCAGACACTAGAACAGCTTCATCCCTGGAAGCGGTTTGTCCAACCTGTTACAGATCTCCTGTACTAGAGATCCCAGGACCACCGTTTGCTGTGACTCCTGCTGGTTGTGAGGCTACGTGTCATTGCAGGGATATTCCCTGAGGCCTTGCTGTGATGGAAGCTGTTGCCTCCTATGCTTCCCACTGCAGCAGGGGCCCAAGGACAGTGTTACTTCCCTGGCACGGATGTCTTGGATATTGAATGACTGCAGGCTGTACCCTCCTTCCGTGCTGCTGGAGACCTCAGAGCATCTGATAGATGTTGATGGATGGATCTCCCTCCCCCTTGGAGATAAGAAAACAACATTCTCACCCCCTTGCTCAAAAGAACAGCTGCGTGGGGGGGCGAGTGGTGCAAGGTCATGGAGCTGGAGAGCTTACGTGTGCTCCTGCCTTCAAGCTTTAAGCAGCATCGCCCTCCCTCATGTGCTATCACTTGCCTTTTGTAAGTGCAGGTTTGGCTTAAATGAGCAGGGCAGAGGTGACTTTCTAGCTTAAGTGTGTTTTGGGACACAGGTAGAAAGCTGCACTGGAAGGCCATAAAACTGTATGCACGTAAGAATCATCCCCTTCTGGGGAAGAGAGCGTGACCTAGGAAACACAGGGCTACCCAGGTTGGAGGATTGGGCTTGTCACCAGGTGGGACGCCTCTCTGCATCACGCTCTTCAAAGACTGTGCAGGGAACACGCTTCCAGGACCCGTGACTGCAGTAGGACATGGGATCAATATAGTCTTGTTGCCAGCTTGTCACTTCATCACGTGCAGAAGAGCTGAAAATGCCAGTTTCTTGTGCCAGGGTTGCAGCATTTCCTCGTGGACGGGGCACTCCTGCTCCTGGCCGGGAACTGTCTGTTATATTGTTAATGCTGTGCCTGTGGTCACAGACATGTCTAATGTATGTGCGTGTGTCTGCCAGGCCCTGGATTACTGTCACAGCATGGGGATCATGCACAGGGACGTCAAACCCCACAACGTCATGATAGACCACCAACAGAAAAAGGTACCGTGGCCCCAGGGCTCACAAGCAGGGTTTTTCCAGGGAAACTTGAAACTCTGCCACCTCTGTGCCCGTAGCCTGGGCAGCTGTACTTACCCCTTTAACCTTTCTTCACCAGCTCCCCTCCACTTGTGCCTGCGTCAGGAGATGGCCAAAGTCCCACTGGGGAGCACCACAGTGGGAGTCTGTGGCCTGGAGGTTGCTCTTCCCCCAAGCCAACCATGCTGGGTTTCTTTGCGGAGAGGAGCCGGTCTGGGCCATTAATCTCCACCTGGGGAGGTCTGGCAGTAGGGTGCAGAGGCCCGGGGCAGAAGGGTGGCCTTGTCTGAAATACACGTGGATATTTTTGCCTAGGGAACATAAGCTCCTCCTGTAGTACGGCCTGCTTGTCCCGCAGTGGCTTCCTCACTTCTGGGGCACACTAGCTAGATCACAGGAAACGTTTGTACCCAGCTCGCTACCGTGGAGGTGGGCAGCACAGGGAGCTTCCCCGCCCCATCATGGTACTTGCACCTCATCGGGTGCTGTGTGTACCTGTCTCCCCAGGGACCTGGGATTTGCAGCAGCAAATTAGTTGCTGATCCACAGGTCCCTCCCTGTCAATCACTGGTGGCTGTACGGGCAAGGCAAGGTTTATTAGGAGGGGGAAGTCTCTTACTAGACCCTCTGTCCTTCGGTAACACGGCAGGTCGTCCATCCCTGCGGCTGTGGAGGAGGTGGTCTGCCTTGCAGGATGCGGTGGGCCCCCCTCCTACCTCGTTTCCTGCTCTCAGCCCTCAGTTAAAATCAACACTGCCTTCAGCCCAGCCCCTCTAAACATCAGGATAAGACAGCTGGCTTTTGCCTGTTTCCTAGTATGCAGCGACCTGTCCGCTGTGGCTGGTGGTGCTGGTAAGGAGCCAGTTGCCCAGCAGTAACAGTGTACTTGGACTCAGGAGGCAGAGGACCTCTCTAAGCTGGGCTTTGCCCCACCAGCTGGTGATAGGGGGAAGGGAAGAGCCTGACCAGAGCACTGCTGAGAGCATCTCCTGTCCTCAGAGCACCTCTCTGCGTCCCAGGCTCCACTCTTGCATCGCAGGATTGAGAGGTTTGGCCAAGGTGGCTTCCCCTAACCGGCTCATACTGAGGCTTCTGACTCTGTCTCTCTTTATTGCATGTTCAGCTGCGGCTCATAGACTGGGGTCTGGCCGAATTCTACCATCCAGCTCAGGAATACAATGTCCGTGTGGCCTCTAGGTACTTCAAAGGACCGGAGCTCCTTGTGGACTACCAAGTAAGAGTCTGCCTCCTCCTTGCTAGCCAGTGATACCACGTGTGGTTGCACTTAGACAACCCAAAGGTGGCCAGGTTTTGCCCGCCAGGGCATTGCCTGGGTTGGAAAGAGGCTGGCTGTGAAGTGAAAAGGCTGAGGTTGCCTGTGCGGTTGGGGAACCGGGCCGTGGTGAGCATGCCTTTTCTCACAGCTTCTCCTTTTTCCCCTCAGATGTATGACTACAGCTTAGACATGTGGAGTTTAGGCTGTATGCTGGCAAGCATGATCTTCCGAAAGGAGCCCTTCTTCCACGGCCAGGACAATTATGACCAAGTAAAGACTTTGCTACCTGGCTTATTTCATGAGACGTTTGTCACCGCCTCATCCCTGTGTGTATAGTGGGGAGGTTCTGGGGATCAGACCACCAGGTTGGGTGGTCTGATCTTAACTAAGCTATGTGCTTAGTTAAGCCATCTGGGATTATGCTTCACTGTCTTGTGTAGGAGACTTGTTTTCTGCACATGCTGCAAAAACAAGTTTTGAGGGAGATACTCCTTCCATCTGGGATGTTTCCAGAAGGAGAGCTCTTAGATTTGGGCAGCTCTGCCTCTGCGAAAAAGTGGTAGCCTGCCCCTTCTGCTCTCTGTCAACATGCCTTTTGTTCCAGCTGGTTCGCATCGCAAAGGTCCTGGGCACAGATGAGCTGTATGGGTACCTCAAGAAGTACCACATAGAACTGGACCCGCACTTCAATGATATCCTGGGCCAGTAAGTGGAGAAGTGAAATGCAGCCTTTTTTCCTTGTAATACAGAGAGGGAGATAAACTGATGTCCATCCCCTTGAAGGACGCTCAGCAAAGGCCTGCTCTGATCTTCTGGGTCACAGTGCTGCTTGCAGGCCTCCCATCTGGCTGTTCATGTCATCTCAGGAGGTCACTGAAATGCAGGCTCTTTCCTTTTGCCTCTCCCGTGATCCACGAGCCATCCCCTCTTTCTTCCTTCTCCTGCTTGTTGACATCCTAGAAGTGGAGATGTAGACAAAAGTTGAGTGTGGGCTGAGGGGCTCAAAATCTCCCCGTTGAGATTCCTAAGAAGGATGAGAGGTGGATGAGATAGCGAGGACAGCTTCTGTGAGGCTGGCTGGCAAGCCAGAGCACTTCTGGCCTCAAGGGTGTCACCCTGCCTGCTGCATGCTGTTGTCTAGTCCCTGTAGACAGAAGGGAATGTGCAATATTTTGCCTTTCCCAGGCGTAGGACATCCACACAATTGTGTACCTAAAGAAGAGGGTTTTCCCCCTTCAGCAAGTGCTTGCTGAGCAGTAGCTTGTGCAAGGAAGAGCTGTAGGCAGTGTCTGTTGCAGCTCTCTCCTCTCAGAAGTACACAGCAGCAGGTGATTCCCCTGGGAGCTCCGGGACCTCTGGGAACTGCTGTGCTGGTCAGAGCAGGGCAGTGACAGCTGGTCCCTCTGCAGGCATTCCCGGAAGCGCTGGGAGAACTTCATCCACAGTGAGAACAGACACCTGGTGAGTCCTGAAGTCCTAGACCTCCTGGACAAGCTCCTGCGATATGACCATCAACAGAGGCTGACCGCCAAGGAGGCGATGGAGCACCCCTATTTCTGTGAGTCTGTGGAGAAGCTGGGGCCAGCTGGGATGGAGAGGGGTCTTGGGTTGTGGGGGCAAATTTTGGCTCCCCGCTCTGCGAAAACCTTAGCAGCTGTGTGGGTTTTGAGGGCAGTTTCTCTGGAAGGGTTTGCCAGGGTGGAGCTTCCACTCTATTAAATGCTGTTTCCCCTTCCTGCCTGGTCTGTGTCTCCTGCAGATCCAGTGGTGAAGGAGCAGTCCCAGCCCAGCTCAGAAAATGCTGTGCTCTCCAGTGGCCTGACAACAGCACGATGAAGACTGGAAAACGACGGGTAATTCAAGATGTTTACAAATAAAAGCAAAACCTTCAGTCACACAGTGAAGGGAAAAGAACCACAAGGGAAAGGGAAAAAACCCAAGCCCCCCCCCCCCTCCCCCTCCCCTTTATACTCGGCAGAAATCTAACCTTGGGGGGGTCATAAACCTCAGTTCCTCTCTGGTGGTTGTGGTTAATGTAACTCTAACCCTGTGGTACCAAAGCCCTGGGCAAATGGTCTTGCAAGAGCTAAACATGTAGTGATATCCCCAGGGCTCAACACAACTGATTCTGGTTCACATCTCTATGGATCCTTCTCTTCCTTCTCAGTCCAGCCTTCCCCACCACGCTGGTGGGGACAAATTGGTCGTTCCACCATCAGCCCTTAGCATGCCTCTTTCTAAACATGCCTTTCTGACTTGTAGACTCTGGATGAACCAAATTCAGGCTGGGGGTCAGCAGGTGCAACTCTGTTTTGAGGTCCAAGTCCTACTGCTCACTCTGGGCTTGAATTTGGCCCTTGAATTCCAGTTTCAATTGCGAATGCCGGGGCGGTTGGGGGGAGGGGGGAGGTTCAACAAAAAACAGCCCACAAACCCAGCAGCATCTCAGGATTGGTTTGGAGCATTAAAACGAAGGCGCTGATCCGAGTTGCTGGGGAGAGGTGAGATCCCTCCTCCAGGTGTGTTTGACAAAGGCTCGCTCTGAGAAGAAACTCAATAGACCTGCTTTGGAAACTTGTGAATGTGAGGGCTGCTCTTGTGGCAGGAGGGGGGAGGGACTATCCAGACTTTCCCACCGAGCTCGGGAAAGTCAGTGTTGCAAGACTTCTTGTGATAGGTGTGCAACCACGTACCTCATGACGTGGCTCCCACGAGAATTCGTGCCAGACGCAGACTTGCGCCAGAGCACAGCCAGCACCGCAGGATGGAGGAGTGGAGAGGAGGCCAGGGGAGAGAGCACAGGGAGGAAGAAGGATCAGCAAACAGCGGCGTGGTCTGTCGGGGAGGGGGCTGTGCAGCTACTGATCCAGGACTTGGGATCCCACGTAGTGTTTTAACAAAGTCAGCCATTTGTTGAATTCTGGGGTGCCGATCCTGTTGCGGGGGGGTGGGGGGTTCGTCTTGCGGGTTCTTTCATCAGATCCCTCGATGGCTTTATAGCCCCACAATTCACAGTTGCCTCCTCTACTTGTTCTGTGTGTAACTTCATCAAGTGGTTCTGGTGACACTCAAACCTAGAAGCTGGAGATAGTGTTTTCCCACCAGCACCTAAACACAGAATTTCCTTCTGCGGCATTGTTGAAATAGTTAATTTTTTATAAGGTTGCAATGTTTCTATTTGAAACATCTGTTTACATTCCATATTCCAATAAAGTTCTATTGGCATCGATAGCAGGTCAATCCATTTGTATAATTCACTGAAACCAATAAATATCTATACGTCTGAACGTCTGCCGTCTCAAATCTATGGGATAGCCTGAAAGAGTGAGAGCTGAAGGTGCTGCCTCCTCGAGGAGGTCAGGTTGGCTCTTCCAGACCCTCTTGTCTGAGTATTTTGGGATCTCTTAGTCTTTGGTTGCAGCTCTTCATGCTGTCAGCCCTGAGAGTTTCACTGTGGCAGATGTGTCTCCGCTTCCACGGGGCCGCAGAGGAGGTGCAAGGTTTTGGGTACGGCGTGGGGGTCGGCTGTTGTGGTACATTGGACTCGGACAGCCGGTGCCCGGGGTAGCGGACTCAGTCTGCCTGTTAGGTGGCTGGTCAGACCAGAAGTCACCAATGCATGGCTGGAAGTTGGGGGTTCTCCACGTGCGTACCCCCCCCATGCTTGTCTCCTCTCAGCCTGGGTGGATGGCTTTTTCTAAAGATGTGCTGAGCAGGGAGTAGCTCTTCTTTCCTCCCACCCTGGGATGCGACCGGTGCATGAGCTCAGTTACCAGTTTCGGGGCTGAGGGGCCGTCTGTGGCGTTGCTGATGTGCCACCGGGCCCTCGCTAACATTAACTCTCCCGCAGATGCTGCTGAAGGCTTTGGCGAGTGTTTCCAGCTCTCTGTCCTTCCATCTGCCTGGCCTGAGAGGCGTGGGGGTCTCTCGTGCTCTTAAGCTGTGCTAATACCAGCAGGGTTGGTTTGGGGTTTCTACATCAATTTCTGAACTGATTTTAAACATGTATTGAATTGCTCCATTGAGAAGAGGCAGGAGTGGGTGTTTCTCGTGGCCTGTCCAAGTTGCTATGGGGGAAACTTGCCCGTTTTCCAGCTCTTGTGTGTTGGCGTTCCCAGCTCCCAGAGAGCCAGGGCAGAAGAGGCGTTGAGGGAGAAGAATGGGTTCAGTGTGGGAATTTTGATAGGTGAAAAATGTTGATGGTTGTATATGAGTGCTTGACAGTGTCCAAACCTGATGGTGGAGTTTCAAGGTGGTGCTTCAGGAAGTATCAGTTCTGTAAACCTTGAGTCAGAAATTCTTTCCTGGTACCCTCAAACAGAGGGAGAGAGATGCTCTTCCCAGCGAGTGAAACGGGTAAATGGATTTCCCTGGTTGCGGTAACCAGAGAGGCTGGAACAACCTGCCCTGTATCTCCCCACATCCCTACCCCAGCTCTAGGGTAGATGAGCTGTGATGGAGTCACCCCCGAGGGAAACATGGCAGCTGAGCAAGCGTAGCCTGGGAGCGAGGAGGGTGTGGAGTCTCCTGACCCCAGGGCGGTGTGGACGCCTGGCCACAGCTCGGGCCAGTCCCTCTCCGTGCCATCAGCCCTTCCAGCACCGAGAGCAGGACACCCTGCTCTCCTCTGGACCTTAGCAAAGCGTCGTCCTGCCTGTAGGGACAGCCGGGAGCTGGAGGAGGCGGTGTCTTGTCCTTGGGAAGGAAGGAGGCTGGGGAACATGCAGCTTCATGTGCTTTCTGCTGGAGAAAGTTGGGAGGGTCCTGGAGCACGTCCTGGCCGTTCAGCTGGCCTGGCCCCAGCTTTCTAGCGGAGGTAGAGCGCAGGTTTGGCCGCGTGCTTGGTAAGAGGAAAGGCTCAAAACCAGAACCACGGCAGCCATTGAGGGATGCAGTAAGCGACTTCCCCAGCTTCTCCGTGCCTGTTGCAAGTGTGCTGTGGCATGACGGAAGCCTTTAGCGGAACTAGAGGAGATGTTTGAGGCAGCGGAGGGGCGCTTAAAGGAGAAAAAAGTGCAAACGTGTGTCTGGCTGCCCATGAAAGTGCTGCTTTGCCGGACTGCGTCTCTCCCTTGCCTTGCTCGGCCCTGCCTTCCCCTCTCACCCTGCCACCCCTTCTAAAGCAGGCTGAGGATGCCCCGCTGTCCCCACATCCAGAGCGGCATGGAGGGGGTGGCCGGGCCTGGCTGGGAGTGGGGTGGCAGGATGTGGGGCAGCGTGCCCAGCCATCTCCTCGTCACCTGGGGCCAGAGGAGCTCTGTGTCGAGCTGGCAGTGCCCCGTGACGCTCACTTCCCTCCTCCCGTCTCTCCTCAGGTCCGATGCTGTTGCTCCCAATTTTCCATAAGCAGAATGAGAACCAAATCAAACGTCCTATCGGCGCGTGTAGAGTGACGGCGGGCAGACGGCGTGGGCAGGGCTGAGAGCGGGGCAGCACGCCTGGCTGGACGGCACTCGCCTCTTTATGACCGCAGCCCTTCCCTCCGAGTGTTAAAGGTTCTTCTGCCTTTGGTTCCTTGTTGAGCTCTTCCTGACCCAGAAAGCGTGGAAACGTGAAGGGTGTGCAAAGCAGTTGTTGGTTAGTTGTTCCTTCCTCCGTTCTGGCTGTTCCCCCCCCAACCTCTGACGGACCACGGTTAGCCAGCTTGTGCTTGTCTCTGCCAGGGCACGGGGGTGGCAGGGAATGTAGTATCACGATGGACAGTTCTATATAATTAAAAGAATTCTATATTGTTGAATAAAAGTTTTAAAAGAAGCATATGAGGAGGAGTATTCAGTGGGGAGAGAGCTGTGGGGCAGGACCGGCCACACTGGAGGACGCTGGCAGCGTGAGCCTTTCCCTGTGCCCTGCTAGGACAGGCTGGGTGAGGAGAGCAGGAGGAACGAGTTGTACAAAATCACCGCGGGCAGAGGCAAAGGAGCCACTTGCCGCCTTTGGAGGTGTCCCTCCTTAGGCCCCCACTCTCTTCTGGAGGTGCCTGCCTGGGTGGTGGCCTGGGTGCTAATGCTGGTAACCCGCTTTTCCCAGCCCCTGGGGCTTGGGCATGGCTCTGTCTCTGCACCCCAGGAGCTCCCATCTCTTCCTCTTTCTTGGGCTGAGACTCTCCTCCTCCTCCCCAGCACGATCACTGCAAAGCCCTGAGCTTGGAGCTCCTGCCCGTGGGCCTCTGCATCGCAGGAGTTCCCCTACAGATGTGGTGCTTCACCAGCAGCTCTTGGGAGAGCCTGGCTGCAGCGCTGGTGGTTGTCCAAGCTGTGCTCTGGTCTTGGGTGTTAACGGACCACTTGAAACTCTGCTCTAAAAACCCCCAGCTGGACTCCGTACGACTGCACACGGTCATTTCTCTTCCGTTGTCCAATTCCTTCACCGCCCATGTGTTTTGCCCTACACAGTTTTCCCCTAGACTGAAGCTGCCCAGGCTAAGGGTACCTCTGAGACAAGGCTCTTGGCTGGGAAAGATGGACCCGTTGCTGGTTCCCAGGGAGGGGAGCCTGGGCAAGGGGAGCCGTGGGCTCCTGCTGGCACAGAACCACAGGGTGCTCACCCAGCCCTGGGCAGTGGCTGAAGTGGAAACGCAGGAGTGAGCCCTCGCACAAAGCCTGTGGGTGGTACGGGTGGAAATTTGCCAACACTGTCCTCGTGCGTCGCACCTGGAGATGTGCTGATGTGGGGCCAGGTGTGGACGTGTACATCAGGTAAGTTCAAGCTACTGGTGCTGTAAGGCAGGGCTTGGTGCATTGCCGAGGCGCGGTGTAATGATAGCCCTGTTGTACCCAGGACTGTGCTGATCTCTGGCGCCTAAATTGAGCAAGAGTCTTTTTTTGGCTGCTGTAGATCTGGCGAGTGGTGAGAGCCTGTCCCTGCAGGGAAGTGCCCATGGCAGAGCCCACCTGAGGTCCACATGTGCTGGGCAGAAGCAGCGCTGCGAGCATACGCCGAACTGAGGTCCCTGTAGCGTGGTGGCACACACGAGTGCTGTTGCTACCTCATCCATCCCTCCCCTGACGCTGTTGGGGCATGCCCCCCATTCCCACCTGCTGCCCGCTGCAGCCCAGGTTCCTCTCCAAGTCAACAGCTTGTCTCTAAAGGGTGCTCTCAATGGCTCTTTTTTTTCACTGTTGCTTGTCAGAAATAAACTCTTCTTTGCCTGCCCGTTTTTTGTCTTCAGTTTGTCAAGAGTCAGAAAGGTTTTGTTCGTTCTCGCCCCTAGCTCCACCGTGACATCCATTGCACCATGGTCCCACCAAGGCAGCGTGTCCTGCTTCCTTGACTTTCTCTGCCAAAGAGCTCCAGCACCTGCTCGCGTTGTCTCCTGCACCCACTGATGTTTACGCTCCCCTGTTCTCTTCTGATCCCTCGCTCAGCAGCCGCCCAGCTTCCTCCTCCTCCTCCTGCACTGCTTGGAGTTCAGCCAGCGTGAGGTCCAAAGTCTTCGTCCAGGTTCCCTCAGCACCCAAAGCCACTTTTGCACCTTGCCTCCCCTTGCATGTGGTGGCTATGGATATCCTGCCCAATTCCCTTTTTGGTTTCCTCATTACAGCTGCCCTTCATCCAGTCCTGCTCCCGTAGGAAAATCCAGGCTGGGAGAGACGGCTGGAGTCATCTGGGCAAATCGCAGGATCTCACACTCCTTGCAGAGGTCATTGCTTTGTTCTCGTTTTTGCCGTGTCATGAAGGCTTTTGGCTCACAAAGGTACCGACCGAATCCGGTTCTGGTTTTACTGGTGTAAGCGCTGTCCTTTCAGCTGCCCACTGGGCCACGCAGCCAGCCCTAGGCACCTGCGCCCCGGCAATGGCTTAAGCCGGGAGGGCGACGGTCCAGGTTGGGATTTCCCAGGCCACGAACCTGGGCTGTGTGCTCCAAGGCAAGCACGGGCTTGGGTGACACTGGAGAGAGCCGCTACGTTTTGCTCTGGTAACTGCACCCAGCAATGTGAAACCTCAGAGGAGCAATGGTTCAGGAGCTTCCTGAAGATCTCATTCCTCTGAAGGCGTCGGGTTGCTGGGAACTCTGAAGGGCAGGAAATGCTTCAGTCAACAGTTATTTCTGGAGCAGGCAACCGCTGCTCACCCCTTGGACCGGATTATTCTCTTAGGACGGGCCTTTTCCTCCACCTGCTCCCCGAAATCCGATCCCTCTGCACCCTGGGAAACGGGAATGGGGGTGATGTAACATGCCGACATCTTCCTAGCGATCTTCCAGGTGGATAACATCAGTGTGTGAGCCTCATTGAAATACGTCTCCCAGAGGCCTCTTTCCGAATGCCAGCCTCGACTATTATTATGTGTTAACATCTCATTAGGCTCCTCCGTTTCTGCCCTCGCCTTTAGCCCGCACGTCCCTGGGGAAGGAGGAGAGGCAACGGGTATTATTTTTCGTTAAAATTCATGGAGAAATGGGGACAATTTGAAACCACAACATATTTCCATGGACATCACTTGCAGCAAAACATGACATTAAAATGGTAAGTGGAGAGCGTGTGAATGAGCAGGCTGTTCAGGAATGGCAGCTGGATATTTGTCCCAGTTGTCTCTTACCATCTGATTAAGGGAACAAGCTATGTAATCGTGCCATATAAAGTGTACTCTAACCCACTGACTAAATATAGCCGATCATTTCTAAATAACGCCTTGCTTTCTGTGTGCTCCACTTGTTTGCGCGAAGGAGAAAGTGCTGCTAACGCGGGTGCTGCGAGGGGCCGCGCGTTTGGGACAGTCAGAGCATTTGCAGCCCAAGGGAGAGACAAGCACAACTAGCAGACGGCGTGGTGGTGGTCAGCGGGATTTGGATGGGGCATTGGTTAGCAACAAGAGCTACACAGGGGCCTGGAGTTAAACTGCAGGACCATAAAGCTGATGCAGGATGGTAATTTTTATGCTGTTTAGTGTCTGTACACTGAAAATAGATGCTACGGATGCTATTACAGCAGGAAGAAATGTAATATATTTCAGTTTAAAAATGTAATTTCCAGCCCAAGCTGTTCCTGGTAAGCCTCTTCAGCCGTGCAAGGCCCTGCCTATACTCGAAAGCATTTTCACAACAGTAAAGCTGTACATCAGCCCCCCGCTTATATCGTCAAGGTATTGCATCTTATCCCAGCCTACAAAAAGAAAAAAAAAGCATTTCTTTGCAGTCATGCAGTAAGAGGCAAGGGTTGTTGCTGGCACAGTTATCTCAGAGCACGAAGATGAACATACTCAAACAGATAAAGCTTTCTACTGGAGGCTAGGCCAGAGCTGAAAGCAATAATTTAAAAGGAGTAAATAAACAGCATGAAAAATTAGGTTGTACAGGTACTCTGCCGCTTCTCGCTCGTGCTCAGAGAAGGGCTGCTTCTGAAGATGAACCGGGTCTGGCTCGTGTCCCTGTGCCACAGAGGTTTCCTGGACAAATAAATGGTCCCTTGGCAGCCGGGCAGCAGACACAGCAGGGACAGGGCTCTGCCCACCTGTGCGCTCGCGTGCGAGGGGTTTTGTGGCTCTGATTGCAGAGGGTTTCACCGACCGCTATCAGCAAAGGGCAGAGGCACCATTTTGGCTTGAGCGGTGGCCGCGGAGGGGAGGGAGGGAGGGAGGGAGGGTGTGTGCAACCACATCACATCATCTGCTTCTCACACCCACGGGAAGCCGCTTTGGTTTCTTGCCTTTGGGAAAGTTTTTTCCAGAGGTTCACTCCTCGGGCACCTTTATTTGCTTGAGCGAACACACTCGTGCTTGGGTTTTGGCACTGCAGGCACTGAGCTGGGTACCCCCCACAGGTGCCGGGGGGGGGGCTGGATCTGACGCAGCCCTCTCTGACCCCAGGCAGCGTCTGCCCACCTCCCCGCAGCGCACACTGCAGTCCCTCGGCGGTTATTCCCGGCCCTGGGGGCTGGTGCTTCTCCAGGAGGGCCAAGACGCCTCTTTCCACTAATCCGAAAATCCAGATCTCCCCGTGGGCACAGGTCAGCACCATTCTGCTCGAACAAGCCGGCGGGCTGGAGCTGCTGCCACTCTCCCCTGGGAGGGGACCCTCGCACGGCGCCGGTGTCCCTGCACGGCAAGTAGAAGCTGGAGGTATTGCACTGATGGCGCTGCTGTCCTTGAGGGCTTTCCTGCCCCTTCCACTGGTCCGCCTCGTGATGGGTGCAGCTGATGTCAGCGATTCCGGCCCATTTCCACGTGGCGATGGAGCAGTTCTGGCCCGAAATGCTGCCTGAGGAAATGCCGCCGTGACAGCAAGCGTGACGCAGGACTGGGACGACCTCCCGCACCGGCCGACGTGCAGGAGGCTCCCCTGGAAAGGACGGATTCGCAGACGTCCCAGCGGTTTCTCACCTAACGAGGCAGCAGCCCCCGGCACCAGCGCGTCCCTGTTAGTGCCGCATCGGCGCGCGGCAGAAACGGAGCGCCCCGAGCCCATGGCTGCAGCCAGCTCCAGCCCGGGCGGCATCAGAGGGCTGGGAAATGGCTCGGCAGAGCGCAGGACGTGCCCACCGCCGTTGTGTGACCGAAACATCCTTCCCTTCCACTCCCATCAAAGGCGTTTGCCTTTCCCTTGGGCCACAGAGGTACAGGAAAGGGCCTGGCCGTGCCTCGGAAGACCCGAGTCAGGAAACGGCTTGGGAGGGACAGGAGCTGCTCTCCGGTACTCAACGCTTCGCGGCGGCGCTACCCAGAAATGCAGGTCCACGGGCACAGGGCGAAGCTGTCAGCATTGATCACTCATGTTTTACGGGACCCGCCGGCATTAACAGTCACG